GGAAATCTGAAACTCTGCAATCTACACAGTTTTCAAGTGTATACACAAATATACCACTGCATGCCTTTTTAAAAGGAGCCATATGTAATCTAATTCTATTTCAGACTGTCACTTTTAAAGAGGAAATATAACCTCATATAGATCCCCTGAGGGCATCCGTGGGGAATAGAGACACTGGTAATCAGCCTAAGTAGTCCTTTGTGTCAGAAGCACTTTGCTGAAGTCAAGAGCTGTCTCCCAGACTCACAATGTTTGGAGGAATTTCACTAATGCAGCATTTCTTTCATTAGGAGAAAAACAACTAACTGCTTCCTACAGAGAAGACTATACTTGAAAAGATGTGAATATTTATTTTCTTGTTGCTTTTTACTTAGCAATATGTCTTACATTGTTTTTAGGATAACCAAATGTGAGGACTAATTCCAGAATTTAAAGTGAATTTTGCTCTAAAGGAATCTCAGAAACCAGTTGTACCTCTAATATAGAAGATGGCCCTCAGATTGTTCATCTTCTTCAGTGACTGTCCTCATTTGATGACCTAACAAGGGGTTACCTATAAAGACAGGACCTCCAAGAAAGCCTGTTCTCAGAGGTGCTTGCAGATACTGCCCTTCAGGTCACCTGTCATTCATCACTTCCTCTTCTTACTGGCCACAATCAAACACACTAACCACCAAAGATTGTTTCTCACCTTTCTCCATATTTATGAATAACTAGTGCATTCCTAACCATCTTAAATGAAATATCTTGTTGAAAGGTAATTTCACATGCTTGATTTTCTTGTGGGCTACTTGATAAAAATAAGTCTCATATACTCATGCCAGTACAAAACCATTGAGATTTAAAATAGCAGAGACAATGAGCCACTGAAATGATTGTTTTCATTATTTGTTAATTTTCTCCTCTATGTGTTTCTCTTTTTCTTACCAAATGTGACTTTAAACTGCTACGAGAAGCACTAAGGATGTCATTCTTCTCTTTATTTAGTATTTCGTTTTTACCAGCAAGTCTTTTCAGTAAAGCCCGTATGACAGATAGAAGGGAAGATACAAGGAACTTAATAGTGACAAGGGATCAAGTTAGTTTAAAAATAAGAAACTGGGCTTAGAAAAACAGCAGTGACTTAGATCATAGAAGAAGTGAGGGGGGATATTGTTTGTCTAAGGGCTCTGTGTTAAAGCTTCCCAGCTTGAACACAAAAGGCATTTCAGCAGTATGTGGTCCAGAAAGCCAAGCACATGAAATCCTATTTCCATGTTTTAAGCATGCCTTGGCAGTCGGCACATTTTTGAAATTGCAACTGGCGCATTTCACAGAGAATTACCATCAATGCCTTTTCAAGGTCAAATGTGCTGCCTTTTAGAATTTCTGGCATTTATGTCCCATATATTAAATCACAGAATATATTTTGAAGGCATTCAGCAGACAGATGAAGTAATTTTAATTAATTAGATGGTGTTTTTAATAACTTACTGATTTTTTTTTCTATTTGATATTAATTGCAAGGTAAAAAAAATCCCTGAAATATATGTTCACTTTGAATGTGGGTGTTCTGTGTTTTTCAGGGTTCCAGGATCCCTGTTTGAACAGTAACCTAGTTGATGGACTTTCCAAAAAAAAAAACCAGACATTTCTCATTGGGAATATTGAAGTGATAAGATAAAAAAGAAAAGAAAAGAAAAGAAAAAACACACAACAAGGAGAGATTATCATCATTTGAAAATGCCAAACCTCTGGGATACTGTTTCTTACATGAACAAAATTAAACTGAATCCAGACATTAAAATGATACATAGACTGTACTGCTCAAGGAGGTGCCTCAGCTGGTCCTCTCCCAAGGCAGTGCAAAAGGCTTTTGGACTTCTCCTCAAACAGAGGCATTGCTAGTCTGGCTTTGTTCATATTTTTTCCCTCTCTAAGCACCTCCACAATCACATTCAAAGGAATCTAAGCCATTCTGCTTCACATGTGGCTTAGTGATTTTGGAAAAGAAAAGTGATTTGGAGAAGTTTCAACAATTTTGGGCTCTCATAGGATCCTTATACTTCCAAGATATTTACACATTAAATTAGAATCCCAGAAAAAGGATTTGGGGTAGGGTTGAATAAAGAAATGAGTTATAAATAGCTAGGCATCAACCATTTATTTTCATTCCTAAAACATTCAACCATTATTGGGCAAGAGTTAAATGCTGTTTGGAAAATGATCTTCTTTACCTAAGACTAGAGGATGCCCCATCCCCTATCATTCTTACTAGAATGCCAGCTTGGTCACCTTTACATTTTTACCCAGTGACTCTCTTTTGGGTATGAGGGACTCTCAGATGGCTTACTTCTCTAAGTCTTTTGTGACTTCCCCTTTTGATCCTAGAGTGGGCCAGACCTGCACCTTGATATTTTCCCTGGTATAATGTGTTACACTGAGAGCTGTCCCAGGCTGCTGGTCTTGCCCTGCCCCTGTAGCTACAATGAAGCTTCTGGCAGAAGAAGGGCATATGAGTCTGTCTCTCTCTTTCCCTGCTGGCTCTCCTCCAATGCTGTGGTTCTGGCATTGTTCAGTCTTCTTTTGGGGCTCCCGAATTGCACTTACTGGGTTCTTCCACTGTCTTTATCTTGTGAGGTTTGAGGTGCCCTGGGTAATTGTCCTGGGTTTTTGATCACTTTAAATTTTAAGTCCTAGCTATCTTTGTTGTCCTCTAAGTACATGATTTAAAAGCCTATGGGAGACTAAGATGTTTCTCCCTCTTATCACATAGAAGTCTACCCAAAGTCCTGGGTCTTTTATCCGAGTTTCCATCCAGAATCACTACCGGAGCAGCTCAAAGCCTTTCAACAATTGCATATCAAAATCGGCTCCCGTTCCCTGTTATTTGCCTTAAACTTGCTTCACTTTTGGTCTTTGCCATTTCATTAAATAGAAATGCCATCCTTCTAGTTCAAACAACAGCATCACACAGAGGGTACACCAGAAGACCACAAGAAGCTCCTTGCCTTTCATTCTCCATACTCAATGCCTAAGTCTCATCAATCCAAAAGTTCATATGGTTTCCAAAATGCACTCACTTTACCCAGTTTTCCCACAGCCATCTTAGTAACAACCCCCATCCGTTCTAATAAGTTACAAGAAAACAGGAGAATCGACGCACACTCAGTGCTAATTCTATCCTCAAGCTACGCTAGAGTCTAATGTCTTAATATGCTTAAGTCCAATGTGCAAGGTTGAAGTCAATGAAGGGTATTTTAGTTTTGTTTTGTTTTGTTTTGTTTTTCCAGTAAGTGTTCCGAGCTACATTCTGTGCTTTGTAACACAGGAGTAGAAAGCAGTTTGATTAATTCAACAGAATGAGCACAAGTTCACATATTCAAATCGCTGTCACATTCCTCATGATTGATTGGCATGGTTTTGATGTATCTCTACCTATCTGGATATTGTTCCCAAGTGCCTTAGACTTCAGATCTCCGCCCCATTGTTCATGCCTCTCTAAACATGTGCCAGTAAAGCACTGGAAACTTAGCCACTTCTGTTGTCACTGTGCTTAGATAGTTATGCAGAATCCTATTAAAGGTTAATAATAAAACCTGGAAGCCAGTGGGACGGATGTGTATGCTGTGATGCTAGAAAGAGCCAACAGATGTTACCATAAATAAGTCTAGTCGTGCACTTAGAAAAAGCAATTAGTTGTCGATTTGCAAATGCAAGGTTGCAAAACTTTAAATTACAGTACTAATACGCTCTAGAAATCATGTAACCGATCCTCTTTGCTTTGAATTTTTAAAAACTCAACATTCAAAATTAAAGTAAGACACTCATACACAAGTAGAAGTCTGTCAGAAATGCTACATAAGAAAAAAATATTAAAAGATACCTAGCATACTACAGGAAGGAATCAATTTTAAGTTAAACAGAGTAAAATTTTAATGATTCAGAACTAAAATAGTATATTCTTCTAAAACATCTCTTTCTAGTTTTATTTCTCCTTCCTTACTCTTTCACCCTACCCCTCCTCTTCCCTCTTTCCATCTTTTTTTACATGTAAAATGTTTTCTTTGCATTATTCGTTTTGTGTAACATTGCCTTGTGCAATCCAAATAACTGAACTTGAAATAAATCATTTTCATTTCCTTAATATCCTAATCTTCCCAGAGAATATGTGACTAAAATATTAGATGAAACTCCTTTATGAACTATCCCAGTATCCCATCACTAGTCCACCATGCAGATAACTGAAAGGAGCATTTTCTACATTTTGAATTTTTCAACTTAAAAAAAATGAACCACAATAATAAAACAGAATTCCACAAAGCTGGACAGAGTAGCACATCAGAAAACAACCTGATTTATTCTTCTGTAAAAAGCAGAAGTTGTGTGCCCTTTGTGTGCACACACTAGGCGCTTAACCTCTATTTGCAGGGTTGCCGTCTGTGCCTCATTAGTTTGGCCCTCTAGGTGCTGAATCCTGAAAGCAATTTCGTCTGAACAAACTTGGAACCCTTGGTATCAAACCAAGAGATGTAATCTCCATAAAATTTATCAGGAGCATACACCAAGGATTCCCAGTTCTTCAGAGGCACATACATGTCTAATTAGTCACTGGTTTTGGTTATATTCTAGGAAGAAGATGAACTCTATTTTAAGGTAAGAATTATAAACATTGGCCATTAAAGGTGGACATTCTCATAAAACTTTGGCTGTTAAAAACATGTCTCAGCTCCCTGGTGTTTTTACTAAGAAGTTGTTCAACACAAGCTTTTAAGAGAGAAAACTGAATTCTCTCCCCAGCCCATCTGTACCTCCATATGCACAAAATGCAAGCAAGTAACTGTTGTTAACTCAGGTCAGGATCTGACAGCAGGAGGGATGAGCTTTTGGTAGCATCCAGGTATCCCTTTTATTATGTTCCCTGCCAAGACTCTGACCAGCCCCTTCTGGGCCAGGTGTCAGTAACACAATCCTAATAGGAATTGTAAACTCCCTCATGCAATGCAGTGATCTATACTTACCGTTTGATTGTTTCTTCCTGTCTTCGCCGTTTCTCATTCTTCTCTTTCAGGTAAGCCAGATTTGTTTCATTTCTCAAGCGATCGTTCTCACGGGCAATGTCAGATGCATTTTGAATAACCAGCCCATCATATGCTTTCATCCCCATATCCTCAATATACTGGAGAAAACTGTCCAAAGGGTCTTCTTCAGGATTAGCACTCATCATCTTGGAGGGTATCATGGAAACGGGATACTTCCTGAAGATGGACAACATATCATACCCTTAGCAAGGTTGATAAGGTTCGTTCCTAAGATTTTATTGTCCCAAATCTCAAGTGAGTTATCAGACACCTCAGGATATATGCGGCTCTGGTGAGTTATGACTCTTAAGTTAATGATTACTGAGATGTCTCCATGGGTAAAGGTGCTTCCTGGCAGGGCTATGGACCCAAGCTCCAGCTCCAGAATCCCTATAGTAGCTGAGCATATTTGACTTTCTTCTTTTTGATCTTCACATATGAACCATAGCACACGAGTACTCCCGCACTGTAAATAAATTGATGTATTTCAAATGTATTTAAGCTAAGGTGAGTTAGTATAAAGTTGTTATAGAATACCATTAAGGAAAATTATAGTACTAAAAAGGATTATATCCAATTCATATTATATTAGACCACTGTGTTCCCTTAAATGAAGCTGAATTTTCTATAAATAATTCAGATTTATACATTTCAGGTTTTCCAATAAAGAAAATGCCTCATTATAAATTACACATTCCATGAGTATTTGAAATAACATGAAACTTGTGTTACTTGAGTGTCAGATGTTCCATCAAACCATCAGCATCAGCAGGACAAAGGACCACAGTTCTGCCCTGCCACCTGATAATGTATAAGCATTGCATCTGAAGGTAAATATCTGGTTTGCATCATTACACTCATAATTTTGTTTCTCAAAATATGTTGCTATAACACCATACATCCAAATTTTGTATTTTCATTATCATAATGACATTTCCATGCATATATAAATTAAAATTATGTTATGTTGGAAAAAATGAATTACATTTTCCTTAAATATGTAAGTGAAAATGTGCACATCTACATTGGCCATACAAAAGGTAATAGCAATAAAAAAACATATTGGCCATCTAATCGGTATACTTTTGTGATTCTGTGTTATTTTCAAAATGGTTCTCTATAATCACTTCATATCATAATTTTCTATGATATGTGCATTGTCAAGCCCACACATCCTCAGCATTTTGGAAATACTTGCTTTGATATTATTGTAGTACTGTTAATTAAAAGTCTACAGACTTTAAACAACTTACGTTCCAGGTGCAGTAGCTTGACAACGAACCCAAATCAATCCATAGTTTAAAACATGGTGCTTTGACCTGGTGTATTTAGCTCTCAGCTACAAGGGAATGACAAAACTCCCACTACCTACTGTGATTTGTAGAAGAGATGGCTGTGAAGGGTTTAGAATAGAACTCAACAATAGTATGCACAATAAAGCAGTCTAATATCATGATAATATTAGTGAAGATACTTGGCAACAATGTCTATGTGAAGTGAATGTGTGAGTTGGTGGATGGATGCATAATGGATGGGTAGGTCTATGGATGGTCAGACAGGCAAGTTTTAGGAATCACTATATTTCCAAGTATTCAAGACAAGGTAGGCGAACTGCCTGAACAACAATAAAGAACAAAATTACATAAAAACAAAAACTTAATCTTCTATATTAATAGGGCTTCTTTAATTTCCTATTTGCTGTAGCATAGAAAAGTGATACAAGTGAGTGGAGTGTGGCACATGTCTATCATATTTAGAGACCCTTTCTCCAAATACACAGAAATTTATCAAGTATTTTACAGCTTTTTTCTTCCCTTTAAAAATCATAGAAATGTTGATCAATCCATCCATTTACTGAAAACCTCAAGAAGTTTCTTCGTTTAAGTATACATCAAAGTTATTCTAAATCTCAATTCATATTAGAATTTATTAGCCTTTTAGCTATCATTTAACCCAAATTTGAATCTCATGTTAAACTTAAATATTTCTTTCTCAGTCTTTGATATTTTAGAATCTGGAAGTTGTTTGTTGGCTTTGTATTAAAATTTTATTATTTTTTGCTTAATATCTTAACTCCAGTGGCTTAGAACTGAGTAGTCTTATCATTCTAACTTCATAGTATATTGAATTATATAATTCAATTGTATTAAGAACACATACTTCAGTGGCAGGCACCTGGGCACTTAGAAAACAAGAAAGTTCCATGTTGGTAGGAAGGTTCAGGAAAGTCTCATCCAGCTATCTGAAGCATTAATGTTATCAAGAATTCACCTACATCAAGAACATCTGCAGTAAGAACTCTGGGCTAAAAAAAGACCATCTAACTTTGTGGCAATTAATCTTGCCTAAGTCAAGCAGGTCGACTCATGTTATAAGCGTGCTAGAGGTAACACCTCAGGCTAGAATGATTCTTTCCTCTCTGCCCTCCAGCAAAACTGTACTTTTCCCAGATGCAAAAAAGCATGCTTACTCAAAGGATTATATTTTATTTATTTTGTAGAGGTTTTCCACCAACCCTAGTGATTCTTATAAAATTTACATATTATATTCTTTAACAAAAATAGTTGACTGTTTTTGATCATTAATTATCATTACCAACGGCATTTCAAGTTACATGGGGTTTAAATTGCTGTTTTTCTGAGAAAATGTGAAATTATATCATTGCAAAATATTTGTACATGGAAAAAGTACTTTTTAACTTGCATGGATTTTTTTTAGATGAAAATCAACTGAATCGTCAAGTAAAACTCTATATTATAAAAATGGGTTACATGTGCCTATACCCATCTGCAGGAAGGTAAGTTGGTCATATGATCACCCATCTATTTAAGAATCTGTTGGGCATCTGCTACACACAGGGCACTGAGGAATGGCAAAGTATAACCATCTAGATGTCAAATGGCAGAAGAAGACTAGAATAATAATTACATCTCATCTGACTCTCAGACTGTTTACATCATTAGCTGGCCGTGAATTCTTATTGCTACCATTTTTGAGGATAAACATGTATAGCATCTTAACATTGACACGCGGTCTTTAAAATAAGATTAGCAGCCTGTCAATGATTAAGCTCATAGTATCTTGTCTGCTGGTCTTCAAGGAAATTAGTTTGTAATGTACAGGGACTTTGACAAAGTCCTGTAGGGCAGAGGTACAAGTTATTCCATGTGCTCTAAAAGTCTCAAATGCATTATTTCTTTTTTTTAAAATTTCTTTATTAATTAATTAAAGATTTCTGTCTCTTCCCCACCGCCGCCTCCCCTTTCCCTCCCCCTACCCCAACCAAGTCCCCCTCCCTCGTCAGCCCAAAGAGCAATCAGAGTTCACTGCCCTGTGGGAAGTCCAAGGACCACCCACCTACATCCAGATCTAGTAAGGTGAGCATCCAAACTGCCTAGGCTCCCACAAAGCCAATAAGTGCAGTAGGATCAAAAACCCATTGCCATTGTTCTTGAGGTCTCAGTAGTCCTCATTGTCCGCTATGTTCAGCGAGACCGGTTTGGAATATATACATATTAGAGTACTACTCAGCAGTAAAAAAATCAAATGCATTATTTTTATGTCTAGGGTTTTGCATTAACTAATATCTTTAAGCTTCTTTTTACATTAAAAAAAAACATGGAAGTTGGAACAGACCATGTCATAAGGATTTGGTTTAAAATGTATGTGTTCAGTAAGCCCTGTAGCAATATTGCTATGAAAGCCTTTCACAAACTCCTTTTAAATCAAACATTTTATTACATTCAGCTGTGGATTTTTTTAATAGATGGGACTATGATGCCATAACTTCTATGTAAAGATCAGAGAACAGTTTGAAGTGATTGGCTTGTCTGCCCTATCATGTGGGGGGTCATGGGAGTCTAATTCAGGTTGTCAGGCTTGGTGGCAAGTGCCTTTATTAGATAAAACATCAGTCACCCACCCCCTATTGGTGTTTAAAATATACTCATTTTAAAAATTATTATTAATTTATTATATATATATGTTTATTTGTGTGTGTATGTAGGTAGGTATGTGTGTTTGCATTCAGGCATGTTTTCCAAAGCATTAATTTAGAAGTCAAAAATCAACTCTCAGTATTCAATTCTCTCCTACCACCTGTGGGATCTGATGTTGGAACTCATGTCATAAAGCTGCACACAAGAGCCTCCACCTCTGGACGATCATGCAGGTTCTACCAATTAACAACTCTGGAAGTTATTATATTTAACAACATGGCTCCCTGATAAACTAATTTTACTTTGAAACACATGGATAGAATACTTAAGACAATATCACTTTCATCATCACAGATGTTCATATTATGGCAAAGTTAGGAGACAACATATTTCTTCATTAACAAAATAATTTATCGAGACTCTTATGCATGCCACTTCCCACTGTCTAAATCTAGAAAACAATGGCACTGGGATCTATGGACTACAGTGCTCATTCCATCTTAAACCTTACAACTTTGCCCTTCCAAACTGAAAGATGAATGCATCACAGTTCCCTTATAGAAAATTGAAATATTTTAATCATCTATATTTTTATAACTGCTACCATTTACTGTAATAAGAAAATCCAGTACATCGCAAATGTGTTTTTAGAATGCACTTATATAAGATAAATAATGAGTTAGATATGTTCCGTTTAGCCCATCTAAGACTTGGATGTAGTTCCTGCCTCTTAAATTGTAATTCTGTTTAAACAGACACAGAATTTCACAGTTTGTTTCTTAGGAAGTAATATTAAGATACAACCGGGTTCTTGTGTGCTATATAGCATCTTTAGAGTTTTCTCAATAAGAGACCACCTCCCTTACTTGACTTCTAATTAGATATAGAAGCAATAGAATTCATAAGACTAAAGGAGAATCTTTGCCTTCTTATGGCCACCAACAATTTTGTGCACCATTTTTTTTTTGTTTAAAATAAACAAGAGACTTTTGTTGCCTATATATATACTCTTGGAGCAATGTGTCTTCACTCTAAGAGTAGATATGCTTTCTTTGGAAGCCCCAGCACTGATCCAAACAGTGCAGAGCTATGTATGTGTTTATTGGAATTTGTGGCTAAATTTGAAAATCATGTCAGGAATTCTCCTGGGATAGTAGGTTAAATGACAAAATCAGAATCCCATGCAATACGCAGTGAAATTTGGGTCTTTATTTTATGACTTC